GATTACTTTTTAGTAACTTCTAAACTGTTAAAAATAAGTTATTAAAATCATTTAAGAAGAATTATCATTTGCTTAATAAGGATTTGCAATGTTCACCATGTTGGAGCAAGAAAAAGAAAACCCTCATATTTCATAAACATTTGAAAAATATTTTATACATAGCATCAGATTTGAGAAAAACTGCTCTATGTATTGGGGAAAAAATCAAGCACAGAAACCACCGAAAAGATACAGATCTGAATTTGTGTATTTTCACTGAAAAATCCAGGTATGTTTTGTGAAATAGTTTCCTGGCAAAAATGCGAAGTAAAACTTTTATTAAGATCTTTGACACTGGAGGAAAAGAAGTTATTTTCGGCTTTTGTAGGTCTCTTAACATTTTAAATAATGGTGTTTATGCTACACTACAGAGTAAAGCATATATAATCTAATATAAATTACTCCAGAATTAAACATGAACGTTTCTTTCTAAAAGATCTGAAGTGTGTTCTGGGTTTTCACTGTGTGTGGCCTTTAAACGGAAACAAGCTTGCACTGTTTTATTTCAGTTTGCTTCATTTTTTCTTAAACAGTCTTTCCCTGCTAATTTATCACAATCCCTGTCCCCTCCCTTCCCTCTCTCTATTCTGTTCTTAGCAGGAATAAAATAAAAAACATTATTAACTTCATGTGCACAATCATAAAACTAAATATGATATCAATTTTCCCAAATTTATTTTTCAGTATTTATTAATGAGGCATGACTGGGGAATAATATTTCCATAAATAATTCTCTGAAAAAATTAAATGCTGAAACTTTAAATTCATGCGGCAAATCTAGCACATGTTTTAAAGCTACAATTCAGTATGAATTTAGGTCAACATCTCATATCAGTCATTTAAAATCTAACCTTATCTAATACCAATTTAACACAGTAAAATGGAGAGATAAATTTTATTAATTTCATTCCAAATTATTAGAGAATCAAAAATAATGTCAAAATTTCATCAGTGTAAAGAAAAATACATGTGCATGACAAAATATTAGATCAGCATTGCTATATTCAAAATAATCCAGCATCCCTTGCTTAGCTGTATATTCTAAGATTCATATATTGAAGGGGAATGTCAATGGGTAAATTATATTGCAACAGTAGACACAATTACTAAAAGGCTACCTGTGTGGAAAAAAACAAAATGTTTGTGAGAATATTGCTATTTGAAAACTTTTCCCCCATGGCATGAAAATCAGAACCACAGAGTCTATGGTTGACCAGAATCAGATGTCCATTCATGCTCAGAAACAAGACAAGAGTTAGCTTATTACGACGAAATATTAGTGTATGTGTACTTTCTCTGAAATTTGTGCTTCTACTCAAATTTGCAGTGTACAAACAGATGTAAAATGTTCACAGATGAGGCTGCTTATTTGGCTGTATTTATAGAACATAAAATGGTGTATAGTAAGTTGTGCACTCCAGTGGATGAAGTCTGCACACTCAGCCCTCTCCTCACCAGAAGAAGGGCACCTGAGCAACAACTTTCATTACAGCCCAGTTATTTCCATGGAGACATAGGCTAGCACATGAGCATCAGGAGAATGCACAGCATCATTGCTATAACTCTGGTTCTCTAGTTAACTCATCTTTTCTATCACTCGGCAGCAGCAAAGGTTGATACAGAGCAGCTGAGAAGTTAGAATACTGCACTGGAGTCTTAGATCAGTTTGGAGAAAATGACTGAGTTCGATGAAGTCGTAATGAGCAGTTGCAGTGGTGAACAAGGCGCGGACAGCAACAGTGCAGGAAGACAGTGGCCCCCCAAGGCTTGGGGGTCACTCTATTTCTATCAATACAGAGTTGGGAAGCCACTGTGGTTTGACAGCACCACAGGTCCTATTCTGCAGTGGTGATTTTCTGTAGGTCTGATCATTACCTGGAGGGAAGTGGGGGTGGAAATATGGAAGTCCATCCATGGCAGAAAGGAAAAGTATGATCCAGGGCCACTTGCCCTTGGGCAAAGGCCACAAGATCCTTTAAATCTCCTCTCCAAAAGGCACGCTTTCTTCTTTTAGGTTTTCATTTAACTGATTTAGGGATAAGATTGATGCACTGCTGCCTGGACAGTGTTAGATTATGCGTGTGGTGGGGGGGGGTGTCAATTAACATTGTGCAGCAATAATATACAACATTCTGAAGACAAACTCATAATCACCTGTTGGGTTTTCATTCATCAAAGCCCACTGCTCTCCAGGTAGTTATTGAGAGTGGAATGGATGTGTTTGTAAGGAGGGAGGGATACACGGGACTCAAGGAATAAGGAAGAAATGGCAGGTCAGCTGCCAAAGTAATTTAAACCCAAAAGAGCCAAAGTTTGTGAAATAGGAGAGTACATATGGGTCAGTTCCAGAAGCAATTTCATTAGCATCACCAAGTCCCTCTTCTTAGGCACCAGAGGACCCTAATTCAACATTCTTTTCCTCCTAGTAGCTCAGACCCATTGCTTATCTAAAGATGGTCAGAGTAATTATAACACCTTTGTCTACTCACATACCTCCAGCTCCTCCAGCTAGCTCAGTTCAGCTGCTTTAACCGTAGGACATCCTGGTTGAGATGCCAGGAAAACTGAAGACACAAGTTACACATATTGTATATCAGACTATCTCAATTCCATTTAAAAGCACGTCGAGTTCTATTTGCATGATGGAACCAATGACATACACTTGTCTTCAAGTCTCTCAGTTGCAGTATGAGTCACTGTAAATTTTGGGTAATGGGTCAAAGTCAGACAGCAGATCTTTCTTAGCCTAAAGAGTGGTAGTAGTTTGGCAGAAAAGTACCCGTGTAGTCCTATACCTCACCACAGGGCTGATGACACTGACACACATTTCCAGATATGCAAAAACAGTGTCAGTGAGTACTGCTGGATAAGCCACAGAGACTGGAATGCACAATTAACTCAGGATTCAGGTATTTATTGAGAGTCCATAATGTGCTCTCTGAGCCAGGTGCCATAAATACTGTTTTTATCTTTATGTATTTCATGTAATCTGTACAACTTCTTCAGTTATACAACCAGATAATCCACATGGTCATAAAATCAGGAAAGGATAACCCTCAGGGGTGGCACCAACATGTCTTGCTCTCACACTTTGTCCTTTGCAACAGGACAGCAGATTATACAAATTTAGTCGAAATGGTATGAAGAGACCAGGCCATTTGCAACACAAATCATTTCCTTCGCTTAAAGTTTACTTTTATCACAGGATTGAGATGAATGAAGCTTTGCTCTTATGAACCTATTACGTTTCATATTATAATGTAATCATTCGCTATTTAAATATTAACCATAGAAATGCTAATTCTCAAACTGAAAGTGTTTGCTGTATCACTCAGGGAAAGTGTAGTCATGGCTCCCAAGGCCATATTTAGTAAAAACAGATTAAAATAATAAATTCTGTGAAGTAAGATACTGAGAAAATAGATTTTCAGTGGCTTTAATCTAGCAAATAATCACAATACTCAAATATTATTTATAAACAGCATTTTTTAAAATGTACATCCTTGCCAACTCAATTTTATTTGGGTCAAATTATTCAATATTTCAAAATATTAAAACATTAAATTAATAAAGTTTTTGGAAAGTAACAAAGGAAATTTTGGAGAAATGGGAAAACCTTTCAGAATACAATAAAGATGTACATATCTTCAATAATATATAAAGAACATTGACCCAGATTCACAGTAGAAACACATAACACAGTTTTTAAATATTTCATTTATTATTTTTATTTTATGTGTATGTGTGTTTTGCCATGTAGGTAAGTGCACTTGTGTCTTACAATGCCTGTGGAAGACAGAAGAGGCTGTTGGATCCCCTGGAACTGGAGTTATGGACAGTTATTAGCTGCCATGTGGGTGCTGGGATTCAAACCTGGGTTTTCTGCAAGACCAGTCAGTGCTTTTAATCACTGAGACATCTCTCCAGCCCAACACATAACATTTTAAGGACGTTTGTGCTAACATCAGTCTGCACAATAAAGGATTCCACTATTGGTAAATGAACAAACTACCATTTTCAAACTTCAGCTTGTATTCTGTTTCTTTCTTTCTTTCTTTCTTTCTTTCTTTCTTTCTTTCTTTCTTTCTTTCTTTCTTTCTTTCTTCTTCATTTTCAAACTTCAGCTTGTATTCTGTTTCTTTCTTTCTTTCTCTTTCTTTCTTTCTTTCTTTCTTCCTTCCTTTCTTTCTTTCTTTCTCTAACATTACCCCCTGAAGAGGTAACCCTAAAATCTTTCAGGGATTACATAAGAGCTCCCAAATACTTCTGTCATTTTTGGCCTTTGGAACACAGTATGTTGCTAAGTCAATCAAGACTTAAATTTTCTCCATTTAATCTGCTACTAAATAGTAGTCCATGATGGGAAGTCATACATTTAAGTTTTTGCTTAAAAATACAATATAAATGTAATATGCAAAGTTATATATTGAGAGGTATATATAAAACATCTAAAAATAAAGTTTGGTGAAAAATTGGGTAAAAAATCAAAATATCATATAAGAGCATGAATTTTAAAAGTAACATGTACACAAATTTGGCAAAGCATAGTGGCACACACCTTTAATCCCAACACTGAGGTGGCAAAGGCAGGTGGCTCTCTCTGCATTTCAGGTGAACCTGGTCTACACAACCTGGTATTTTTAAGTGGGTTTTTCTGGGGGATTGAACATGGATGGGCCTTGATATTTGGAGGGTAAGCACTTTACTGACTGACCCATCTTCCCAGTGTGCTTCTTCTTATGAATGTAAAAATGCATACTTTATTTTACTACAATGATAAGGCATTTAACATTTCTAATGAGCTACAGTGACAATGTTAGTTGTGACAAATATAATGAAAAGTAATCCAAGCTAGGGAACGGTTTCTGGCTTTGGATTTTCTGATTCTCATTTTTAAAAGAGGAAGTCAAATTAACAATAGCTACTTCAATTAAATAAGGGGAATCTAAAGTAGTACTTACTGGCATGACAATACTGTAGTGGATGCAGAATCCGGGTTCAGAAGGAAAATACTCATCGGATACAAATCTTATCCTGATTTGATTTCCTTTAGAAATCTGTTTTCCTGGCACGGTCCCAGAACCGCACCAGCGTCCTAAGACAGTTCCATCACTGGGTTCCTCAATTTCTACAAAATCATACCTGTGAGGAGGCAAAGGGGACAGAGACTGAATGTCATTACTTATTCGGGCAAATCAAATTCCACGGGTGCAATGAATCTATGGAGCAAGTGGATGAGCTGTTCCCAAGTGTGATGGGAATATCATCAAATAAAAAACATAAATAAGAGACACTGAACTGACAGGAGGATCCAGTTGGAGAGGACAAGTCTCTTTTCAAAGTCCCACAGATTTATCATTAACAAATTTCAAGATCACTAAACATGTCAAAACTTAAATATTTCACATTGAGTAAAAAAAAGTTCATCAATGCATAATTCCTGCATTATTCAATTTAGTTTCCCATTCGAAAGCCTTCTGTTCTTGTCCAGCTTTCTAAGCTGAAAGAAGATGGATTTTTGTTTAGAACTTTGTCAACATTTACTCACTAATTTATAAAAACAAATCACCGAAGAGATACTGAGTTTATTGCGAGTAACTGCATCACAAATACTATTCTACTTAATAAGATGTAAACATCTGACTAATTTTTTCTTTTTAGTGTATTTGATAATGTACTTTTAGGTATTGACATATATTATTTTATTACAAATAACGTCACCATTTTTCCAGCTTTTTGATACATTCTCAGACTTATTTCAGCTTTATCTTACCTACAGGCCACTGTTTAATTTTTAAGCATTTGCACACATAAATAAACGATGGCTTCTAGAGATTGAATGTCAGAATACTAAAGAGAACACTACAAAATTTTTGTTGAGAAGGAAGTTTGGCACATATACAAACATATAGATTTTTAAAGTATGTATCTAGTAGATATAACCCAATACAATATTCTACGCAGTATTGGATTTAAAGAAAAAATCTTTTTTAAAAAAGACAATGTCTGAATCTACTATAGTTATAAATTTCTTCCTGAGAAATTACCCAGAATGCATTTAAAATCCTACTTCTGCTTCATTTTTCTCACATATAACCTGAGACCTGAGATATTTTTAAATGAGAAAATACATATAAATAGCTTGAAAAATTGTTGACAGAGATCTGACACTCAGTAACGTTTGCCTCATCTCTAGCAGCAGGATGCCACCTCCAGACATTCAACTTTTAAGATATGCTAGAGAGTTTAAAAGCACTAAATAGGAAAATTTCAGTATCGAAAGAAGTGAATGTGCTATATTATAAGAGAAGGTCAGGGTCATAAGCACCCACTACAGGCTGTAGATGGATGGTAGACGGAACAGGTGTGGGATGAGTATGCAGTGCACACAGAATCGACATTAGTAAATATTTCAGGTATCTCTGGTTAAAAGTTGGTAATTATCATGTTCATAATATTCATATCTATATTCTCTGCACAGGAAATCACAGTTCCCATTCAGTTCCTCTGTTCTGTTTAGAGAGATAAACCTATCCGCTTTGATTTCCATTTTGCTATTCTGGACTCTTGGCATACAAAGATAAGACTATAGCTTCCTAGGGCTCAGGGTCCATAAAACACATGGTAAGCTCTCTCCTGAAAGTGGACTGTGTAGAATACTGGATAAGCAAGAACAATTTTACAGAGTGAGATTAGGATCCCTTTACAAAGGACTTGATACCTGGGTTGTGAATGAGTATTGATGGCCAGAAAGGGGTGAAAAGGGAGGGAAGTGGAAATGCATTCTAGCAAGAAGCACAATGAAAAAGAGGTAATATAAGAGGAAAGGGGCCAGGCATGGTCAGTCATGAATAAAGGCGGAAAACAAAGATGCAGACCCAGCTGGGAAAAGAGGTGGAAGTGCTAATATGCTGGCATCTCTAACTCTGCTGTTAGAATCTTAGCTGTAAGATGGTAAACAGAGGTGGGCATAGCTTTAATAAGCCTTATGTTTCTTTAACACACTTAAGCCCATATATTAAAAAAGGGAGTTCCACAGAAGTACGAGTTTCTGATTTACTTTTAAATTTTAAGATCTGGTAATACCGAATATTATTAGTTTTGATTCAATTTCATGAAGGTTCATCTCCAAAACTGGTGTCAGATACAGGGCAGGAGGTGTCTGTGTTTAACGATTTCCCCAGAGCACCTGTAGAAGAGGCACACTGTGAAGGCTTGTTTAGCATTTGGGGAATGAAAGAATGTGCACTTGTCACAGTGATTGAAATCAGGGTTGAATGGAGACATGGATATTTTTAAAGAGTGTTAGAAATACCTATCTATTCTCCATGTTTCTTAGTAAGCAGATTTCCTCATTTATTTACAGTATTTAGCATTGTAAGCATATGCATTTGGCATCCCTATAGTGTGTAAAACAGTCAATGAGGGAAAAACAGAGAGACTTGGTCACTACATCTCTGAGGAACTAGAGGAACCTTCAGGTATGAGGGTGTGAGTGAAAAGGGAAGGTCTTTTTAGCAAAAGTATCCAGCAACAGAACACTCAGAGAATCAGGGACACCATTGCAAGGGGTGACACAGAAGCTCCAGGAGGGAGAAACAGGCTTTCTATCAGAATCAGCAGTGTCAGGCTGAGAAGAAAAAATAAATAAATAAAATTAAAAAACCCAACAATGAAAGTCAAATGCACAAAGTCATTTTCAGTTAGTGTCTTAGGAAGGTCGTGTTGTGTCAATACTATTTTCTGATCATCTAAAAACTAACTAGCAAAATATTCGATGTCAACATAGGAAAACATTTTTAGGAAAAATATAATATTCCAGATCTTTAAAATTAACAAACTGTGTAGCTATTGTACTAAATCTAATTTTCGCTTCTATTCAAAAAGAAGCACTATATATGCTTATTTGATTTTTGACTTCCTTAAAAATATTTTTAAAAAGGTTTTAGAAGCACAAGGACATATTAGGATTCTAAATATTAAGACCTTAAAATAAGACAAGTTAAGCCTTGGACTGAGCATATAGGCAGACGGAGAGAACTTGAACAGCAGGTATGAGGGAAGCGTGGGGTTGATGTCTACACAGCAAGATCAAAGACAAGAAAAGTCCTAATTGTGGCTTTTCCTAATTTACATAATGATGTAAAACTCACCCTTATGCAAATTAGAGAAGGATGATAGTTCCATTATTACTTATTTTGTAAAGATTTTCTAATGAATAAAAAACTCAATTTAAAAAAAAAATTCTGGATTTGCAAATGCCAGTTAGATAGCTGGTAATTAATTATGAAATGTTTATGCAAGTCTGAAACATGTATTTACCAAAGTGCTTTTGAATAGTCTATATAGTTCTACATTCCATGATCGTGAAATACCCAGCTAAAATGTACACTTTATGTCTATGAAACAGTAGAATTTAATATAAACCAATAATTATTCCAGAGTAAATTAGGCACCACAAGCTTTTCTTTTGCAGAACTATTGTTGCAAAATGATATAAATATAAAATTCACCCAATTATTCTAGCATTACTCTCATGGTCATATCTAATACCCATTAAGGCATCTAGGGAAATTAAAAGTATTAATAAAATAATTGTTCATTAAGGCTTCAATTTTCCTCTTAAGGAAAACCAAAAATATCCTTGGGAAAGTATACCAAATAGCTTTGTTTAAAAAAATTGATTGAAGGTCAGGTGAAACAAATGAGGTATGAGGACATAGCTCAGTGGCCCAGCACTGACTTACCATGTACTAGGTCCTGGGTTCAATCTCAAACACCACAAAAAGAAATGAAATAAAATAAAATTAAAATAAATTAAAAAGAGAATAAAATAAAACAGATGTGTGAGGATCTACCTGGAAATCATCTCCATGCCCCACCATGCAGATCTTACCAAATTATAAAGGGCAGAAAAATAAAATAATGTGGTTCAATATCTCCTTTCATTTTACTATGTAGAATGAGGATTGGAAAAGCAGAATGCATTCAATATGGTTATTTTCCCTAATAATCTGAAGGTTTTTGTTTCTTTGTTTTTCTGACAGGCTACCCTTAGCAGAACACAGGATTCAGAGAAATTGGTTGATGGATGTTTCTTAACGGAGGTCAAAAACATCAGGAAGGAAATGAAGAGAGAAACAAATGAAGAAAAATATAACTGTAGGTCATAATGAAACAAACAGAAAACGATTAAAGCAAGTCATCCTTACATGCCCAGGTGACCCTCCTGGAGACACAGTAATCCTTATAATATACTCCCAGGTATTAATTTTCAAGGTGAACAATTGCCCACATCAGTATTTAAAGGATTTACTAAGCCTATTTTATGAGCCAATCAAACATCACGTTCTCAGGCAACATGATCCAGCACACAGTACTAAGTGGCCTGTAATGATCACTCCCTTTTCCTAACATACCTTGGGACCCAGAGAGGATTTATGTTCTTTTATGTTTAACAAACAAGTCTAGTGTTGTAGACAAAATTTTTGTTCTCATGTGGGAATTTAGAAACTGTGAGGATATTGGGACTGTTTCCTTACTCTTAAGAATGGTAAGGACTATACCAAAGAAATAAATTCACTGGTAAACATAATTGTCAGACACTCAGCTTCCTATAACAAAAATAAACCAACCCTGCAGAACAGGCCTTCTCTAGTTCAGACTGACTAAAACCTTGTCAATTAAACCTGCCCCATGAATAATCAAGTCTGACAGTGGTGAGAAACCACGCCAAGTGAATGGGGATTAGAGAAAGCCTGGCTCTGCAAGTGTGGACCAGAGCGGGGCAGGCTGGGAGAGGCAACAAAATCAATAAGATGACAATTACTCTGCAGTGCTTATTGGCTTACACTTCGGTTCAGCAGATGCTTACTGGCCACACAAAAAGTTTCAGACTTTTCTTGAACATAAAATGTTCAGCTATACTTTAATTTATATTGAAAATATTTTTAAAGTAAAAAGTATATTTAGTATGTGCGTACTCTGAGCAAGGCATTTTTTTTTTAGCTGCTTCAATATATTAACAAAGATCCTCTTAGAAACAAAGGTGGATACTACTGATTCTGCCCATTTTATAGGTTACTAAATCTAGAAAAGCTTAGTAATTTGGCCAAGTTTATACAGTAACTAACTAAAGCCAC